AATATCACGTCGGGTGGTGCAGTAGATTTGCATCTAAATTTGGCTGGCTGGCCCATTTAATTGCCAGAAGTACACCATTTTGCAATCCAACTATTGCCTATTAGTTGCCGGTATGTGTATGCTGATTTCGTGTCTATGGTTAGTGATGTGATATGTATTATCATAGTCAGCCTATTTATACCATTAAGATGTAGCCTTTATGCCACACCTGGGTACATACTAGTATTAGGGTAGGCATTTTCTAATATTTATATAATAGATTACAAAGTTACCTAACCTAAATGTCATATTATACCCGACTATATACTAGTGTTAGGGTATTCTTCTTCCAATTTTTATATAATAATTATGAAGAAGAATACCCTAAGTACTCATCTATCAAGAATACATTTATTCCTGACCCCCGTTACCATTTTTCTATCCCTTCTTTTTTGCATCTATCAAAAAAAAATAAATTAAACATTTCCGAATTTTATAAAGTAATATAAATATTTTCAAACTAACATCATGCATACACAAACTAATTTTGTCCAAACTGATTGCAGAACTCTTGCTCACTATGACGGTGCTGAATCTGATGAATATTTAAGTGACTCAAGCAGTTGTACTGATAATGGATTCAACTTAGGATCAGATAATTATAATAACTACGAGTCTAATTATGAGTCAGATAATGAAGAAGCTCCCTGCATCTCAGCCAGCATTACTGAGTCTCTATCAGTTCAGCTACTAAATGTAAAAGAGCAAAAGACTAATGTGAGATAAACTTTAAGGCAAAAAAAGTTTAATGATAATTTTTCTTCCAAGGACTTGCTAAATGTCATTCGGAGAATTCTCTCATCATTATCTAGAGATATGTCAAATGATAAAGGGTCATTGGATTGCCTTCCAATCTATTCATTTCTCTTTCTAAATGAAAAGAACTCTAGTTTGTATAATGCCTATGATCGAGATGAAGTGGGAAATAAATTAGTTATCAAAATCGACCAAGATGATGATCGAGCCCCAAAGTTTTCTGTTGCAGATGACATTTCAGAAGTATATAGTTTATCTGGGATTCATGAATACATTAACAGTCAAAAACCTTTAAGAGCTGTGATTGACATCGATGCTTCACAAAAAGATATAGAAGTAGATAGAGTTAAGTCCAATGAAATATTTATTCAAATTTGTTGCTCTTTCATAAGAGCTTTGTATCAAATTCTTGATTATAGCTGAAAGGATACTCTCAATAGATTGGTAATCGCTACATCATCAGACCCTAGCAAGTGTAATTACCATATTTTATATGCACCAGCTCTCCTTATTGATCATCAGGAACTCAAAGCATTCACTGAATTAGTATATACCTTAACTGGGGAAAAATTCGGCAAGTATATTGATCAGGGGTTGCCTGGTCAAAATTTTAATCTTCGCCTTATCAGTTCGATAAAAAAAGGTTGAGTAAAGCGTATTCTTCAATTCTCACTAGATAATGAGTAGAATGAGCTTGACCACACTAGGGTTTAACCACCTACTAGCTTAGGACTTGAAGTAAGACCTCAGATGCTTAGTGAAGAAAAAAATAATAATCTGCTAAGAATAATCGTAAGCCAGGATGTATTACAAAAATTCGCAGAACTAGTTTTTTGAAAATATTCTAACTATCTTAGAGATTGGACTATCGAAGAAAAAGATTCACAAAACTTTGTATATTTCAATTGAAAAGCTTCACTAGAATGTTCATTCTATAAACGTATATATGACAAGGATCAGTATGTGTTCGGTCGTATATGTGCTAGTAGTGGTGAATTTATTGTGAAATATTTTCGGCAGAATACTGATAAGCTAGAGGAAGTTTTTGAAAGTGACCCATTTACTGCGAAAAAAATTCAGCAAGAAAATAAAATTTCTCCACAACCCTTTCACAAGGTAAAAAGTCCGGACTTTTCTAAAACCTTCGTAAAAATGCTATCTTAGGTCAAGTATAATGAAACCCTTACAGCGACAGAAACATATGAGGAGAGATATGTAAAATCATTACCCAATAAAGGTGATATTTATGTAAGCTCGCCTTAGGAGACTAAAAAAACGTATATTCTTGAAAATTTGGCTATTTCTGATGATGTGAATTTGCTAGTATTATCCACGCGCCACTCTTACTTGAATGCTATTATTACAAGACTTAATCTTAAGTCATATTGTGATATCGATGGTAATATAAATCTACCCGATCACAAGAGGATGGTTTACCAGATAGAGAGTTTACATCGTATTACTAACAATTGCAAATGCAATAAAAAATGTAAATGTCTCTCAATATAATATGACTTATGGCTTGATGAAATAGTTTCTATAATTGCTTAAGTACAAAGTCATTTGGTAAGGCAATCAATAGAAAAATTATATAAATTAATCCAAGAGGCTAGGCGCATTATTGTTATGGATAATGACCTTACTGATATTAATATTGAATGGATTAAAGCCCTTTGTAAGGATATATCTTTCTCTATTATTCATAATACTTACCAGCCTCAGAAAGGCAAAACATTCTGCTTAGCCCTTAACAAAGAAACAGTATTAGTCAAACTTTGGAATTGGGCCAGGCAGACATTATCATTACCTTTTGAATTGAACAAATATGTCACTTATTTGCCATCTTAGAAAAGACATACAAGGAATTATTTGTACTCTTAAGACGGATTTTTCAGAATTAAGAATCAAGGAATACCACAGCAAATCTAATCCAGTAAAAAAGACTCATGATTTTAGTAATGTCAAAGAAGCATAGAAAGATGTAGACCTAGTTGCTTATACTAGCACTCTAAAAATAGGAGTATCTTGCACTAATTCTAAGTTTGAACGAGCATTCTGCATCTTTAATAGTTATATAGAAACAAATGCTAGAACAAATCAGATGTTATTCCGCATGCAATGTATTAGAGATTATGTGTGTTGTATTGAGCAAAGATCTTTAATGTCCCTATCACAGAGAAAGGAATATTTCGGTGGTTACTGAATGCAAAATGTGAATGCCTCCCTAGGAACTTCAGAATAGAGGAATATTCTCAGATGTAGATTCTATTATCTGAAATAAGGACGTACCAACCATTCGATTGTGGGTGGCCTATATGTTAGAAAAATTCTGTTTCTAATGCTTATTTGGTTGGAAAATGGTTGATTTCTTTCAAAAAGCTAGCATAGAAGTTTCGATCATAGAATCCAATCCTAAATCTGAAGAAAATACATTATTATAAGTGGTAAAAGTAAAGTGTTCTATCGTTAAAGCGGAAGAAATATCCGATATATCTAATGCTACTATTGTCAATCATGTGACTGCTGAATTTTTAGAAAATAAGCCAAAGAAGATTTTAGAAGAAATGCGATCTCTAGATCAACATCATATTGTAGAATGTTATGAAATTTCGCCTGAATCATTAACTGAAGATTTCATTTCGAAGTATGGGGATTATAATCATATGAAATAGTTCAGAGTTTATAGACAGTTACAAGATGCTGGGATTAATAATGAAATAGCTGTTGGGGCTATTACTCGCAAAGATTATAGAGAAGATAAACTTATCTAGCTACTCAAGCTAAGAGGCATTGAATTTGTCTGGAATTACTAAGAAATTGCACACCTGTTAGAGACATCGATAATAGAGCACGATATAAAGCTGATGATGTCAAAATATGTATAGATTCTCCTGAATTGATATCATATCTTCAAAGTATAATACCTAAAATAGCTCGAGTATTTGATAATATAGATGCATCGCACAGTGCTAAAAAATCGGAATTAAAACAATTTGAGTGAAACTTGGACTACTAAATTCAGCTTTATACGTAACATATGGGTTGAAATTCAAAGCTATCAATAATAAACACAGGCATTATCACTTGGTTGGTTCATTTGATAGTGAGAATTCTCCCAAATTACCTTCATATCAAACAGGGAAGGAGATATATTGGAATAATAGAAAAGATACCCGATATGCTTATAGTAAACTTACTTCTGATGAATTGTTAATAAATACGTCTATTGATTCTAGTAAAGTGAATAACGAGCAAATCGCAGATTATATCCAGAATTTATTTGATATATACTAATATTATTCAAATATAGATCTATTGTAAAGCGATATTCTTTATGCTATCTGTTAGGCAGTGTTACCGAAGAAAGTAAATCTCGTCTCAGACATTTGTTATCAGCTTGCATGACAAGTTAAGAGATCCAGAGACTGAGGTTGAATTGTCTGAAGAATTTTTTTACCAACACTGCTATTAGGGTATTCTTCTTCCATTATTTTATATAATATTTCTGAAGAAGAATACCCTAACTATGTCTATTAAAAATATGTTATCTAACTCAAAGTTCACTAATAGATGTCTCACTTCTCGACAGATAATTCAAAGGGATTCCTAGTACTCTGAATTTTGAGCTAATCACTAATTCCCAAATGGGTCAAAACCTATATCCTCATCATCCGATTCAAAAACTAGAGCTTCATAGATTTTGGGTTGAAGGGTCACATCTGATAATTCAAAGGTCTCTGTAGGTTAAGGGGTTTCATCCAATAATTCAGAGGTTTTTGTAAGCTGGAGAGTCCCAGTTTTGGCTATATACTTCTGCCTCATTCGATAATTATATGCATGGTACTTTGCAGAATATTTAGAACAATATTTGGTGTAATACCCCGAATCAGCATCAGTAGGGAATTCACAAACAAGACATGGCCATTTTTTCAAATTTTTTTCATATAATTTCTAGTGCCTTGTATAACCAATAGTACAAGTACAGACTCTTTCACAAATGGAACTATTTCTCTTGATATGCGGGCAAATAACATGATCTATGTAAGTATTTTAGAATATAAAAACCTTTTCACTTTTAATTTCGTAATAAAGATTGTATTTAAATTATTTAGTATTAAGATAAGTCATAAAAGACTTTTTATACTTACGCTATAGACGTAAAAAAAATAGTACTTAATATACTAACTGGCCAATAGATCAATCCAATGGTAAGTTATTTCAGAAGTTGATTCACGAAGGCTATAAGTATGCTGAAAGACTTTCGAATTATATAGAAGATATTGGAATTATGTATGTCAGCGAATTTGAATTGGATCCCTTAGCTGATTTTTACCATCCAGCTTTAATTTCACCTTTATCTATCTTAGCAGTTAGATTGAATATTCGTGAAAATTTATTATTAGTGTGAAATCTGCTATCATGGGAGGAGTGAGTCTATTTACTTTAGAAAAAAATAAACGATCCTCGCTTCAGAATCTAATTTGAATGAACTATTCCAGTGATAACTTGACTATGTTAATAGGAATAACTTGGGAGTAAGAAGAGATGAAAACTTAGAGGAATGACGCGCTCATGAAATTTCTCCATCACCTGAATTTAGTACTTTCAAAATATAAACTGAATGCTTTATATGACGCATTCACAAGAATAGATATTTTAGAGCCAGAATATGTATTAGCTCTAACATAACTACTCGGTTAAAATGTTATAAGATACAGATGAATTTATTCATAGCCTTGGAATGGGGGTTCCATAACTATGTATTTTTTTCGCATATCCTATCTACCCATAATTTTCAAATATATATAAAAGATATTCCAGTCAGAGCTCATAGTCTCATAAAGAGCTCGCAATAAGTTATAATATTATTTTTACCATACCGATCATGTGGTAGTGAAATATCGGAAATATTTTTTTTTGAATTGAACTTTATCAGATATAGAATAATCTAAGGATTGTATATAATCTAGTAGTTACTTCACAAGCTATATTTACACAACTATATCCGCAATTGTAATAAAGTACGTTGCAGAGCACAAACTCAGTAAAAATATGAGTGATGAAGAACTTAGTCAGTACGCTCCAGAATTACTTGAGCTTTTGACAGATAAACTGAAAAGAGACAAGAATCATCAGCGCTTCTAAAAAGAGTATAATTTTAGCAGAAAGCAAGCATTTGTATTAATCCCCGATCAGAGAATTTGCTAAAGTAAAAGTTGAGCAATTTCCAAAGAAGGAGGGGATATTAATATATGTCAAGTATCTGACATCATCTCAGATGAAGAAACTATCGAAAGTATAGCCCAGCGTATTGTTTGAGATAATCTTAGTGAAAAAGAAGTAAAGGCGATAGCTAAGGCTTTAACGTCTCCTAATCCAGTCACTATCACATCCCGTCTTAGTAGGCTCTGAAGAAAGTTGCGAAAACTCAATGCCTCAGAAAAATAATCTCTGCTACATTAGACGAAGAAACAACCTGCGCATCTAATAAGATTCAAAAGGAACGTAGGGATTAACATAAAAATGAAGGAATTGATTTTTCAGATCACTTCTCATTAGAATCAGTTAAGGAGAGACTTGATTTCTATGATGTGTTTAAGACACCCACTGTGCAAGCTCTAGCCGATGTAATGATAATGCTTTGTATCCATCCTGCCAAAATTAAAGACTTGCGTATATCTAATAGAGGTGTAACTGGATACACAAAAAATCGAGGCCAACAGGATAATCCTCAGATATTTAGATCATTAGAAAGAGATGAAGAGCGAGCTAAACTTCTTTTTACTTAGATTCAGGATGCAATTTCTTCTGGACAGTTGAGAGATCCAGGAGTGTCAGAAGTTAAATAGTTTAATACGTTTCTGAAAAAAGAAAGATTTCTTCCTAAAACTGATAAACCACTCCTTTCTAGCTATTTGCGTAAATTAGGAGCAGTATTTGCGATCATATTGAATAGTGCGAAGAATATATCAGAAGCTATGACCATCGCCAGTCAAGCTCTTCGACACTGCCCTGATACCCATACCTCTCTAACGCAAAACTATACTATAATCAATTTTTGAAAAAGAGGACAGCCTTATGATTAGACAACAGTATTCAAGCTCTTCGATGAAAACTAATTACATATATTGGTTAGAGAATCAGGGTATCTTTTTTAATTTATATTTTTTTGTTCAAAGCAAAATATGGTGTATATAATATATCACGAAAATAATAACTGATCAAAAGCATTCATCTGATAGTATGCCTACCGAGCAGAAAGTTATCAAATATACAAAGATATTAGCCCAGGCATTTGGACTAAACAAGCAAAATGTAGAAGTATATAGTGTACTTTCTGGAGAAAATAGGGCACTAAAGAAACAATTGGAAGATTATCATTCCCAACATAACATTTTAGAAAAGAGAGTAAAAAGATTAGAAAGAGACGTAAAGTTCTTAGAGACTGAATTAAAAGATTTAGACGAATGTGTGGATAGGGAAACTGTAGTCGACTTAATACAAGAAATAGTTTTCTCACTAAATATCAAAAAATGTAAGGGTTTCTCCTATTCGTCTGAGTCTTCTGAAGACCTTGATGGGTGGGTAGGAGATGATCAGGTAATTGTAAAATGTTATCGATCTAAAAAAAAGGTACTGCAAAGAAATCAGATAAATACGGATTCTGAACCTGCAAAGATAAAGGTACAGGTAAGTGAAAAGATATATAATAAGTTAATATCTAGAGGTATCCCACTGGAAGAGACCAAGCATGATTGTTAAAATCTCATCCAATCAATACTAGTCTAGAGCAGTGATCTACTAGCGAATTAGGTTCAGCTAATTTATTTTTTCAATTAAAGATACAGCATATATTATTTATGGCGCATACAAACATTTTTATTATACCAGAACTATTAGAACAGATTTTATATTTCTTATTGATAGATAAATCCCTCTATCCTACTTTATTTATTTGCTGGTCATGGTATAGATGTGCTGTCTCTAGCTTATAGAAATATATCGAACTAAAGGGGAATGACCTGAAATGTTACCATTATTTTCCAGACGATTATACCTATCAAGAGATAAACTGTACTCATTTAGAAAGATTTGTAAAAATAATATGCGAAAAGTATAAGCCAGCTTATGTCTCAAATGTAACCCATCTAGAAATTACTTATTACCATTCACTTTCGAATAGAAAAATAAAAAATATTGTAGATATATTCCTGAATATAATTTATTTAAATTTCAAAGAAAGTATAGGTTTTGGTGATAGATCACTATTTATAATAGCGGAATCGTATCCTAATTTGAGA